TGCGCAGCCCGCGGCGGAGCCGGCTCTGCCGAGACGGGGTCGCCGGGCTGGCCGACAGGAGGGAGTTCGCTGCCGTCCGCCGCCGTTGCCATCTTTCCTCGGCGTCGTCGCCGGCTGCTGCTGTTATGCTGCCGCCAGCGGCCTCCGCATCTCATCGGCATTACAGATGCTCCCCTCTTGAAGTCCATGCCGATACTGCGCCGCCGCTTGGGCCAGGGGCCCCGGCCCTGCGCCCATCGGTTCTAAGTCAGGGTCTCCGCCGGCCTGCTGCATAACCCGACCCTCCACGTCAGCCCCGCAGCCGTCGCGTGAAGCTCGCCCTCGCTGCAGGAGAGAGGTCTCGCCGCCCGGGGAGGCTCGTGACGCTGGCACTCCCCTCCCGGCGGATCCCTGCCCCCCTCGGACACCTCCCCCGCGCTGACGGAGTTCGCGCGCATCGCCGGCCTCGCCGAGCAGCTCCTGCCCTCGACGACGCACACGCCCCCTGCCCAGGTGGATGCCGCGTGAGACGGCCTCCCCGCCGTGCAGCCACCTGCGGCTCCAGCGGTCTTCCCACAGGCCCGCCTCCTGTCCAGGAGCACTGTGGCAGTCGCGGGTCGAGGCGTCTTCCAGTCCCACCTGATCCTGCTCAGTGTAAGGGCAGGCAGCCACCGGCCTGTCGGGGTTCGTCTTGTCCTGCCGCATTTTAGGTGCCACATGACGATGTGCATTCAGTTGCATGAGTCCGTGCACAGGTCTCGGGGACATAGGGGTCATTACTCCGCGCATTGAAGGAAATAATGGCAGAGATGAGAAGTGTCCAAGGACCCAGGAGTGAGAGCTGGGTGAGGAGAGGTCACCCTGGCCTGGGTGCCGGACTGCCTGTACCAATGGGGTATAGGAGTGCCTTTCTGACAGGGTTGTTTTGAGGATCAATGGAATTTATGGAAAATGGCAGGCCCATAGTGAGGTCTTATCTAGTTACGTTCAGTCTCCCATGGTGTCCAAGACCTGCCTTCACAGCCTAATATTATCCCTTCCACCACAGCCCTTGGGAGGTGCGGCCGCCTGTATGGCTTCCACAGATGGGAAGAAGAACTGAGGCTTGGAAAAGTCTCACTGTTCCTGGAGTAGGCAAAAGCATTTATAGGTGAGAAATTCAGACTCAGAGGCAGCCCCCACCCCCACCCCCAAGAAGCTGCTCCAGCGACCCACTGCTGACTCTCAACACTTCCCTGACTCTGAAGGTTAGGTCCTTTCTGAATACGTTTTGTGATTATAAAGGACAAGCCAGGGGATGAGATGGGATGGAGTCGTTTCCATGAGAGAGAGGGACAACTCCATCTGGCACTAATCATTAAACAGCTCTGGGGGCCGTAGATCTCTGTAAATGACTACAAACTAGGCAAATAAAACGCAGAGGGAACAAAGAAAGCAGTTATGATTGCAGGCAAAAAACAAACAAAAAGCATGGCTCAGACCCAGAAGTTAGGGTGAGACCTCCCCTCTGCCACAGGGCAGCTGTGTGAGCCTTGAGTCTGGTTTCCAGGGATATAAAACGTGGCCACCAGTGGCTACCTTGCTAGGGGCCCAGGACATTCAGCGTGTCCACCACTGAGGCCCAAAACGTTGGTAACTTATTTACATGTACCATTTTACTATTTGTCTTGTATCTCTCCTTTTGTTCGCTCTTCCTTTTGTATTAAGCGGATGTTTGCTAGTATATTAATTCCTTTAATGATTTTCTTTTAATGTTTATTTATTTTGAGAGAGGCGGAGAGAGAGAGAATCCCAAGACTCTGGTCTCCATCCTATGAACTGTGAGATGATGACCTGAGCCAAAATCAAGAGTCAAATGTCACCCGGGCGCCCTTCCTTTAATGATTTTAAACCTTTTTGTTGTTGTTCTATCCTTAGCAGTTGCTCTGGGGATCGCTGTATACATTTTTTTCAGAATTTCAGAATTTCTACTTGAGATTTCTACTAGCTTAATTCCAGGAAGATCTGGAAACTTCTCCAAACTAGCTTTTACCTCTTCCTGTTCTTGTGCTATTATTACTTTTCCACCTCTTCGATTACAAACCCGGTAATACCGTGTTCTATTACTGTTTTTTATAATCTTGTTTTTATAGACGCCGGGAAAAAAATGTATTTAGAAATACATTTTTGATATTAACCTTATTTACCATTTCTAGTCCTCAATTTGTCCGTGTAGATCTGAATTCAACAGTGTATTACTAATATGGTCAAAAGTCACCCGGTCCCCATTCACTGTAGGTTGCTAGGACAGAATCCACCCTACACTTCTATAAGACACCTGTCATTTGCACAGGCCTGTATAAGGTTCAAAGAACTTTTGCTGCCTGTGGGTTGTCTCTTAAGACCCACAATACCTTGTGGCAATACAACGTGATGTCTTATAGGCCAGGAAACCACCCTGGATTAAAAAAGGCGATTGATTTCCTTTTCTCTGTGTAGACATGTGGCTGCTTCTCTGACACCAGAATGTACTTCTGAAACTGACAAATTCAGTTCTGAATATCCCAGGCAGTCAGGATCAGGCTGCACTGCTCTACAGGGCTAAGTCAGCCCTAACTTGTCCACATCAACCTGCATGTGAGTTTTCATGGTCACTTTTTATACCATACTCAAGTTGGTGGAGTTGGAGAAGGGCGCAGGGAGATTATATACCATATATAAACGCTTTCTTAGAACCAGAGACAAGTATGCTCATTAGCTTTTAAAGCTTCTAAGCATTTACCCAGCCAACAGGATGTGCCTGACGAGGTCCAGGTTGGCAGGTATTTCGGGAGGGAAGCCGACCCCTGAGCCTGAGTGGTCCAGGCAGTGGTGGCTATGCTTCCTGGAGACTTTGTGTCAAGACCCCAGAATTGGCTTTCCAGAAATTAGCGTTCTTTCCTTGCAACAAACACCCACAAGAAGTCTAAATTCTAATCTCTCGAGGCCAACTGAAGAGCGTTTCCATTCTCATCTTGGACACTCACAGGATCTCAAACTTTAAGTTTCTAGCCTGGATTCTGAACACGATGACAACCAACTTTTTTTTCTTTCTTTTTTTTTTTTTTTAAAGAGAGAGAGGGAGAGCCCATGTGCACCTAAGTGGGAGACGGGTAGAGGAAGAGAACCTTAAGCAGGCTCCAGCCCAGTGCAGAGCCCGACTCGGGGCTCAATCTCACCACCGGGAGATTATGACCTGAGAGGAAATCAGGAGTCAGACGCTTAACCACTGAGCCACCCAGGCGCCCCAAGACAACCAACTTTTTAATCTGTAAACCGAAGCAGAACACCAGAGACAACTTTTGAACACCTGCTACTCTCCCTGGAAAAAGGAGTTGGGAAGCAAGTACAAAGAAAAAACGGAGTGAAGGCCTTCTGCCTAGAGAGACCTCGTACAAAACTAACACTACTGGTCTACTCTCCAGAAAAGGTCACTTGTAGCAGATTATCTATTTGGCAAATAAGAGGCACTCCTGACACATCCACCAAGTCAAGTGGGTCCCAACTGCCTTGTCACACATGGAGGGAAACCAGTCTGTCCTTGAAGGAGTCATGGGGCTTGCTTGTCCGTCTGCAGCCTCTGGTTCTTCTAAATGCTCTATTTGTCTCGTCTCACCACCACCAACTGTGCCCTCCACTCCACCCTGGCTGGACTCACATGCAGAAAAAAGACCCTTCTCTGTTACCCCCTAAACCCGCTTAGTCAAGGCTGTCTGTCACAAGGGAGTGGCTTTGCCCGACTGTTTGGAGGCTGGTTACATCACGGCCCAGCAGATCTCTGTCTTCCAAGTCCGTCCACCGCGCCCCCTGACCCCTGTCCCCAGCAAGGACTCGGCACTGGTAATATCCTCAGGATGTAGCAGCCCCAAGCCCGACTGTCGGCCCTTCTCTTCTAGCTCGCTGGGTCTCAGCCTCGGAAGCAGGTCAGGGTCCCACAGGACAGCTTAGCTCTGTCTCTGTCTCTGCCGGCCGTCCTGACCATGCCTTCGGTGCTCTCCAGCAACCAACAACACCAGTCATCTGCAGAAGCCCGCAGCCCACACCTGAATGAAACAAAGAAGAGCCCCACAAGGGTTCACACATCCCTGAACCAGAGAAGCTGCTTCTCACGCCACATCTGGGGGAGCGCAGGACAGAGTGAAAAGTCGCTTTCGTGTCTAATTTGCATCCTGCCACTAACTGCTTAAATAAAAGTGTTGAGAAAAATCAAACCTTGTGACGTTAGGTCCCAGTTTCAATAATTCTTTGTGGGCAAAGGATGACAGTGAAAAATGAAAGACCTCTATATATAAAATGTTTATTACAGGCAATATTGGTCCATACACTACACAATACCAACAGTACAAGTGTAATCTTTCAAAATCATCGTTTAAACAGCAAAAGACCAAGAAATAAAATTTGAGTCGACTGATTATTTTTCAAAATATTCTCAATGCACATTATCCTTAGTTCCCTTATTATAGTGAAACATACAAATACAGAAAAATACCCCATTTAACATGTACTAGTGTTAAATGGTTATTTGGCTTAAAATCTGAGTTAAGAAAATCCTTTTTAGCAACCTACGTACAGATAAGTAGCAAACTTTATTGTATTAAACAAAGTCGTTCCGTTTCAAACCTGTGAAGAATTTCATCCATCATGTATTCTGGCCCTAGGGTCTACTCTCTCACCGCCGTGGTTCTGATCCAAAGGACCAACTCAAGGAGTCGTCTCAGACACAACCTCATCCTCTTCCCCAACACGCTTCATCCAAAAGTCTGTTCGGCAGATGGCAACCGGGTAGCGGTCACTTCGCCATGCGGTGCCAATGGTGCCACGAGAGCATGGCCAGACCTGTCAAACAGCTCGCTTTCCTACCTACTGTGGGTTGCTGCTCAGGAGGTACGATAGACGCCAATACAAGCAGAAAGTCTGCGGCTTCTCCGCCACGTGCCTGAGAACACTTTCCATTTTTTTCCGGTCGATGCTCTGATTAGGTAACGTACATAAAAGCCAGCATATTAGTTTAAATCTTTAAACAAAAAACTATATTTTCCAAAGTCATTATCATTTGGGGCGATTAAGTGATCTTTTCTTGCTTTGTTGAGCTTCATCTTTAGGGCGTCCCTCCGCTCTTCCCACTCGTGGAGCTCGGCGTTGCCGTGTGCAAACTTACAGCCGCTTCCTTCTGTGCAGGTGCCGTTCATATACCTGTGGGGCAAGTCAGTGCGGTGAGTGCCCGCAAGTGATTCACACAAACCTGAGGAGCACCTGCTTCACCAGCAAAAAAAACCCCTTAGTTCAAAACCTTAACCCTACGGGAGTGACTATGACACAGCCGTGACATCCACAATGGGAAAATTAGTACTTTTAAATGTATTAATGAGAAATACCGATTGATGGGGCGGAAAAGACTACAGTCCTTCCTGATGCAGTGGAAGGAAATCTGAACTGGCAGCGAGGAAAAGACACCTTCCATGGTGTGGGGTATCACGTGCATCTGAACGGGGAAACTAAATATGAAGAGTGATTTAACAATATGAGGAGCAATTCAAAATCGTGGCTGGTGGCTAAAAGATGTTCTAGGTCCACTGAAAACAAAGGAGCGAGAGTCACGTTCTCCTCTGACCTAAGTTCCACACGTGCACTTGAACAGTCAGTCATTCAAAGGCAGTTTCAGCACTCACACACGCCAGCTACAGGGCAGGTCGTGCTTAGCGACCCGCCCTGGACGACGGGAAGGGGGTTGGGGCAAATGCGAACACACGTACTTCTCTCTTCCGTTATCTCAAGACACTTCGGACCCGTATCAGCAGACCAGTGACTCTTGTCGCATGACCACAGAAGAGCGAACGAGCGTCCAAGGAGCAACCACCACTTTGAGCCCCGATCCGAGCATCCAGTGTTGGAGGACTCCACCCCCGGATGATCCCCGCGCTGACCCAACGACCTGGCCTAACGACGACGTAATGGCCAGGAAAACGGCGTGAGACCCGCCGTCCCCGCGGGGGGGTGGGGGCGGCGCTACCTACCTATCGCAAACACTAAAATACCCTGTCGGAAAGCGGTGCTGCCAGCAGTACTGGTCGTCCTCGGTGTGGAACACCTTCTCCTTGTGCTTCTCCGAGGAGATGTGGCCTTGCCACTGCTTCTCACTGTTGCAGTTCTTCCCACACATCCAGCAGTGAAAGTCGGCCTGGAGTGCACGAGAGACACGCGTGCCATCAGGGGTGCCGTGTGCCCCTGACAGGCCACACGCTGCTCAGGGAGGGCACCCAGACTGGGCACCACTTGACCTACAACCCCGCCTCCACTCTCGGGGAACCTGTCTGGCCGGGGTGGGAGAGGGGGGAACCAGGCAGGAAGATCAAGCTCAAGCTCTGGGTCAGAAACAGGACCAAGAAAGGGATCCCGACACCAGGAGGCGGGCCAGGACACCGGCAGCAGAGAGCGGGGGTGATGGATTCGGCCAGGTTCCGGGAGATCTCTGGCAGGGAGGTGACGGACTGGTGTGCAAACAAGGATGTCTGTGGGGAGGACGAGGGTTCATGAGAGGACCCTGGGGAGGAGGAACTCTTAAGGAACAGCAGAGAGGACGTGAAAGCCCGGGGCTCTGCAGCTGCGTAGGGAGCAGCAGCTGCTCCATCCAGGGCACGTGAAGTGAGCCTCCTACTACGGGCCACACTCGTGCCAGGGACCAGGGAAGTCCAGATGCTGAGAAGACACTGCCCCTGGGGCACAGACCGCACAGAAGGAACTGTGCTCAGGTCGCTGTAGGTACGACCACAGACGCAAGCTGTAAGGTCTGAGCAGTGGTTCCCAACTGGCTAAGAATCATGTGCACACAGGTAAGAACAGATTCCTGAAGGCTTCCTGCGAGATCGTCACTATGTCTGGGGGACAGATGAAGATCCACCTGACTGAACAGCCCAGGTAAATCTCATGACCCAGGAAGTCCAGGTGACCCTGCTTTGGGAACACAGGAACAAGGTGTCAAGGGAGTGAGTGCTGCACCCTGGCACAGGAGGGAGAGTTCACAGGGCACATCCCCAGGCACACACGTGGCGCAAGGCCAGGCCCCAGACGTGAGCCAATCCAGCTGAATCAATTACGGGAAATAGGAAACGGGATAATGCACACGCCCATGTCATCTTTAAAAAACAAGCCAGGCAGGGGCGCCTGGGTGGCTCAGTCGGTTAAGCATCTGACTTCGGCTCAGGTCATGATCTCGCGGTCTGTGATTTCAAGCCCCGAGTCGGGCTCTGTGCTGACAGCTCAGAGCCTGGATCCTGCTTTGGATTCTGTGTCTCCCTCTCTCTCTGCCCCTGCCCCGCTCGCACATGTGCTTGTGCTCTTTTTCTCTCTCTCAAACATACACAAACAAAAGCCAGACAGAACTATGGATGAGAAAGAAATATGTCAAAGATATGTAAACATAGCCTGGCAAATACACACTGGATCTGGTCCGTCTGGGAAGGGGGACAAACGGGGTTCTAACTCTGTAACATTTTATTAATTTCACAGAAGAAAATACAACAAACTGCTAACATGGTAGCTTCAAGGTATTCATTATATTATCCTTTACTTTTATAAAAAAAAAAAAAAAAAAAAAAAAAAAAATGTAAAAGAAAACCAAAATAGTACAAAACCACAGATGACTTAATGTCTCCAGTGAACCTTGGAGCCAGAGGCCAGACGCTGGCGCGTAAGGCGGGAATGCGGGCATAGCACCCACATTTCCCAAACATCTTCTGGGGCCCGGCACTGGGGTAAATGCTCCAGGACCCATCCTGCTTCGCTTACCCATCACAACCCCACTCAGGGGCGCTCGATTACTCGCCCAGGCTACAGGCTAGTAAGAGGGGACACAAGCACTTAGGCTCAAAATTCTCTGCCTCCAAAGTCAGGAAAAGCATTTTCTAGAATCAGGAGGCGTAAGCTTGGGGCCCAAGGCCACCTGAGGGAGGAGCGTGGGCAGCAGGGAGCCAGGCTGTGGGAAGGAGAAAAGAAGGATGAAGATAGAAGGACCCCTGGGGACTCACAGTAACTTCAGCGTAATCTGTCGGCATGTGGATTTGTTTTCCGTTCTCCTTGTTTGATTGACTGGCTACATCATCGCTTTTTTCATTTTTTTGACTCTTTAGCCAGAGCTCATAAAACTGCTCCATATCTTGTACTAAAGAAAAATGAATCGATTTCAGCAGATTTGAATACACCATTGAAATACACACAAGATCATGCAGACCTTTTGTATCAGGGGGCGTACGTTTTCAAGAGGAAAGCGAGACGGTGGAACAGAGACGGATTACAGTAGGCGTGGAGAGGGGCCACATCCATGCAACGGGTAAACTCTGGTGGGTCTGAACCAAATTCCGGACTGTTAGACCACAAGCACTAGTCTTCAAGATGAATTAACTCCTCCCTACGTTTGCAAGACACCTTGGGGGTGCTGAAAATTCAGTAACTATTATAAGGATATTGCTAAAAAGAAAGCCTCACAATGCTTCACACTGCCCCCAGATAAATACTCATGATCACTGCCATAACCACATAGCCACTTACACGGCTCGGGGCCCGAACAGATATGCTCCTCACTGTCTACTGAAAAAGACGAGAAACGCACTACCACTGGGACCATGATTCTGACCCCGACGGGAGCCCATCGAATGAAGCCGCCATCCCTGAGGATTCACACGCTGGGGTGCAATTTACAACAGCACAACTGTGACCAGGTCTTGGGCAGTGGCCACAAGCTGCTTCCTAAAGTACGAGCAAGTGCATTCAGCAGTACTGGCGAGTGCTAACGCCAGGTTTCTCAACCTCAGCGCTGGTGACATTCTGGGCCAGATAATTCTTTGCTGTAGGGGGCTGTCCTGGGCACTGTGGGATATTCAACGGCATTCCCGGACTCTACCTGCTGGATGCCAGTAGGACAACCCACCTAAGTCACAACAATAATAACGTCTCCAGACGTTGCCAAACGTCCCCGGGGGAGAGGGGAAGTCTGGCCAAATTCATCCCCGGCTGGGAAATCTGGGAATGAGGTTACGATCCAAAAACTGGCTTTGAGGGGGCGCCTAAGTCCGACTTTGGCTCAGGTCATGATCTCACTGCTCGTGAGTTCGATCCCCGCGTTGGGCTCTGTGCTGACAGCTCAAAGCCTGGAGCCTGTCCATCTTCGTTCTCCTCGCCATACATATGCTCCCTCTCTCTCTCTCAAATATAAAATAAAATGTAAAAAAAAACTTTTTTTAAATGGGCTTTGTTGCCTACCCAAGTGTTTCTTACAATACATCATCAGACTAGGAGGAGAGATAACCCAGAAATCCTTCGTTCGGACCACTGGTAACAGGAATCACCGCCAGAACCCTGGTGTGCAAGAACACCTATGCCCTAATCACGATGTCCTCCTCCAACACAAGATAGCGGAAGGAGCTCCACAATCAACCCCCCAAATGGGAACACTGGTTAAACATGGTAGGTGACACGCTTAAATCTGAATGGTTCACGTAATTCAGAGATCACGGATCTTCAAAGAGTGCTGGTCAATTTCCATCATCTCTAGAGATCAAATCAACACCACCATTCCATGCCCTTGTGACAATCCTTTTCTGATCAAAAGCAAGGGCTGCCTGAGGCCCTAACCTCATTACCGACATGTGTGCATCGCAGCATTCATCTTCAATCGCCTCAGAATCTGACCCCTCCTCAGTCGTGAGGCCTCCTTCTTGAAGAAACCTTTCGCATTTCCTAGCCCCGATGGGGTTGGGGTGTGGCGGGTGGGTGGGGGCTTTGGCTATTCACAATAGGAGCAGATGGTACTGGCATTATGGCAGGAAGATGACTGAATCCCAGGACCACTCCTTTCAGGAACACATCTGTGTCACATGCAACCCTACGGATCCGCACCCAGCTCTGCCCTGAGCAAACACAGATCAGAGGTCAGGCTCCGCTCCCCTGACTCAACTGGATCGAAAGGGATGCGAAGTTCCGCCTTCTTGTGTCCTCAGCAGGAGTCCAGATGTCTTCAGGGAGGAAGGAGACTTCCCCGCAAGCTAGACTTCACGGTCGACAGGCCACAGTCAAGACAGCAACTTACTGCCGTTTCTCTTCATGTCCCACACTTTCCGGCCTCAAGCAGGCTATGAGCAAACGAGCAGTTCCCAACATACTGACACTTCTTCCCGGAAGCAATATGATTGCACAGCTGTACCAAAAAAAAAAAAAAAAAAAAAAAAAAAAAGAATATGCTTTAAGACAAGAGTACGTTCACTAAAACTGCCTAGTTTTTACTGAGGCCAAATAAGCATTATTCTCTGTGCTAGTGCTGAGTAACATAATTATTAAATAAGATTACTTTATATTCAAATGGACTCTAAGCCCATCATACAGGAGATGAGATTAAGCTTTCTATCTTCAAATTTTTCAAAACAGTATCTCCAACGGAAAAAAAGTAAGGAACTGGGAGATGGAACATTTTCATACAAGAAAATGTCGACAATCTCCCTTGTTCAGAGTATCCGCTTTTAACACAGCAGAGCATTTGACCTCCACAGCGCAGCTCTCCGGCCCCCGTGGTCTGACAGCTCCCACGCTCTCCCTGCCTAATGCCCACCAAGCCTCCTTGTCAGCTCCTGGGAGGCAGTGGAGAAGCTGCAGGTACTAAAGAGTCTCGGGAAAAATCTCGGCCACTCAGCTGACCCATCACCAACACTGGCAGCGAATCTCAGCCCTCGCGCGTTCGCTATGCACTGTCTGGAGACGATTATGACAGTGGCCAGGCCATCCAGCTACACAGCGTTCAAATAATACCCCTCTGGTTATTTGCGTTGTGCTTTTACAAAGTAAACACAGGGAAATTGGTAGGAAAATGAAGGGAGAGCGATCAGCAGGACACAGACGTCTCTAAGGACCACAACTATCAAGAAAACCTCCATCACTGAGACAGCTCATTCTTAAATAGCATCAGTGTGCTTGTCTTCACAGAGCACACATTCCAGTACAACGAACCTTCGGCTTAGTGTGTGCTTCAACAGATGCTGGCCCAGCCTTCCAATCTTCCGCATAAAGCGAAACCCCAGTAAGTACTTAGGCGGGCACTACTAGGGAGACATTTACCACAGTCTTTGAAAGTTCAACGACAAGGAACAGGGAAAAGAGAAGATAAAGGAGAAGAGGCCGGCCACTGTGCTGGGTTTTTACATAACACCATCTCATGTAATCTTCCCTGTGACGTAAATATTCCCATTTGCAAATGAGCAAACTGAGGCTGAGTAACTTGACCAGGGCCCTTCTGGCAGACCCTGAGGCCCATTCTCTTTCCACCTCACCATACTGTCTACACACATGCACACACAGAGTATTATTTCTTCTTTTAGGAAAAGGATCCCTTAGCAATAAAAAGAGAAAAAAAAAAAAGAAAAAAAAAGAGGAAATAAGCCACCGTAGCATCGCACAGCAGTACGGCACGTCCAAGATTAATAAGGAATCATGAGAAGTCCTGGCGGCTGGACTAAAACCGTTCTCAGTCGCCTTCGTGTTAACAAAGAATGAGGAGCACACGCACCACCTCGTCTTTTAAAGCATCAGATGCCAATGGTTCCAGTAAGCCTTCTTCCCCTCCTCGGAGGCCCACTGATGACATCACTTGGATGGAGGGGTCTAAAACCACGGTGGATGAAACACAAATGTACCGCCTCCTTCAGACACTGACCTGGGGACCTGCGTAAGTTTACAAAACGCAAGGCACTCTGGGTGATGGGGAATCAACGTGCCTCTTCCTCTTCCTTCACTCTGTTGGGCAATTCAGAGGGGGTGGGGCCTCATTTACGAGGCGGGTCTGTGATACATCCCACTGCTTCTCTGGGAAAATCTCTCTTCCTGTCTGCCATCGGGACAGACAGTTTACTACCTGTCAATGCTCTAAGTGTCCCCGTTCACTCACACAGTGGAACCCTCCGCTGTCTCATGAAGGGCGAAGTCCAGAGCCAACTCAAGGGCTTTGCTCAGACGGTCATCTTTAAAATCACGTAAGGCACCAGAGGGTAGCGAGATGAAATGTGCCACCTCCTGAATGAAATACTACCCTAACGGTCAGCTGGGTCTGCTATTTTCGTTCTCCGGGTTTTTGACGATCACGTGCCTCTCACACTCTCAACATTTTCCCTGGGGGTTACTTTTAGAAAAGCCTACAAAGGGGGGTATCTTTTAGCTCATATCCATGACTTGAGTCAAAGAAACTTGTCAATAGTATTCGTAGTAACACAAGTTTGATGTCAAAGCCAAGGAATCAGATCTCAATGAAATTCTCCCCCACTCACTCCCCAAGTAATTCATCTGAAAAATAAGTTAGGTCATGCCCATAATTCTTTCTTGAGTCCACTGTCTATTTCCTTTTTCTGAGTAACTCCTCCAATCCCAGTCAATCCGAAAACTGTCACAGAGCCGCACGCACAAAAGGGGAAGGAAAGCAACGGGACCATTGGAAAATTGTGTCATTTCAACGAGCGTTTAAAGGTCTCCAAGTTTCGTTCTCAATCACTACTACTTTCTAATGATTTGAAATGCCTAATAAAAAAAAAAGTGGCTTAAAAATTACGTATGTACATCAAACTGTAAAGGCATTTGTTTCTTTGTGGGGAGAGGACGAATGTTCATCCACTTCTTACGTTCGATGGACATCACTCTCATCGCGCGGCGATCTCTGGTCCACCTAAGAAACATGGAGTTCAGAAAAAACAAAGACACACTGGCACAGGCAGCATATAAGGAATATAAAGGAACAGGTACAACGTTCGTACCTGAAGGACCAGAGATTTTTCTCAACCCTTCTCAAAGAAATGCCTTATGATTCTCTCATTTCACTTCCTATTGATATTTGTTAACAAACATTCCCTTTGAACCCTGAACAAAGAACCAATAAGGAAAGATCAGGAATCTGACTGAATTCTTATCTATGAAATCGTAAAAATCTCTTCCCTTTGCTTTGCAATCACTCCTACATTATCTACTTTGCTCTGCTCTCTTCAAAGTCAATCGTTTTTTCTTATATGTATGATTTTATATCCAAGTAACAGAGAATCATGAAACAGGCAATGTTTACACACACTCACACACACACACACACAAAAGTGTGCACATGCACACACACACACAAAGACATACACACTACTTACGAGTGCCTTGCTTTTGCACTACAATATTTTCTGTTCTTGTCTGGTTCAATGACTTGACCATTTCTCAGACACTGAGCACACACAAATTTTATCTTCATATTAAGAGATCCAGGCATTAGCTGATTGCCAAGTACCTTAAACAATTAAAACCGAAGTTTTACTTTTAACAGAATACCAGTTTTCTGACAACAAAATTCTCAATTGCCACGTATTTACTTTTTCATAATAGCATACAATTTCTGGTACTGTCTGGTTTGATGAGTTGACCATTATATACATTATCTGATAACGAAATCTCCAGTTCCCACCCAAACACAAGAGAGTATGATAGAAGCAGATTATCGATGCCACGCCTCAATTTGTGAAAGCCAGCTCTGAAGGGAGACGACTAGAAATCGGGGGTGGAGGGGAGAAAGCACTTCTGGCAGCTGGGACGCAGAACCACAAACAGTCTACCTCCCTTACTCCCGGGGTCCCCATGGTCCAAGCACCCAATTGTTTTGCCGATTAAACTGAGTAAGGAAACTGTATCCTGCAATCTTGACAGGTATCATGGGCTGGCTGATTTTTTTTTTTTTTTTTATGATGATCACCTAAAATCTGGAATCCGTTTTCACATTAAACAATAACTCAAGTCACTGAACAGTAAGGAAGGAAGCTGACTGCAAGTGGAAACCACATCTGCCAAATGACCTCCGTTAGGCCGCTCCAAGAAAGGACACCAAACGCAGCGAGTCTCTGAGAGAACATACCTGAGCCCCAGGTACGCTGACTTCCAGATTTTGCCAGTATCGTTTAGATTCTTGAGCGATGGCATCGTGTGAGATACCTGTGAAACGTACAAGCCTTCCGTTAGGCTCACCCTCTACATATCAACAGTCCACCAGCCCGATCACAGCCTCAACTCCCCCGCCATCCCCTACGCAGCATAATCCATCACCAAAGGTGAATGCTCGTCACGTCCCTCTTTTTCGCAACAGGATATTTACAAATACAGCTTTTGGTGCCTTCTAGGGTGTCTCTCGACCTCCCAAAAGCATACTACGTGCGTGAACGGGTTCCAGCAATTAAGTGCATGAGGCGATTCTGAAAATAAGCCACTCTAAAAATAACGGTTTATAGCCGAGGATAAAATGAACGGTGTTGCCGTATCGGGATGATGGAGAAAGTTGTCTGATAGTGTTTTGTCAAACCCTGACGGCTCCTGAGGAAACTTTTTTTTAAATTGTTTTTAGTCTTCATTCCGGTACAGTTAACATCCAGTGTTATATTAGTTTCAGGGGTACAACAACTCATTGAGCACTTCTATACATCCTGGCGCTTATTCCCATCATACATCCTGCCCACTCACTCCTTAACCCCCATCTCCTGTTTTACTACCCCCCCCCCCCGCCAGCCCCCCTCCCCTCTGGTAACTATGTTTGTTCTATGACTTAAGAGTCTCTTGCTTGGTTTGAGGAGCCTTTTTTTTTTTTTTTGCAATGTTTAGTTATCTTAGAGAGAAAGACAGGGCATGAGTGGGGGGGAGTGGGGGGGGGGTGGGGCAGAGAGAGGGGGAGACACCGAATCCGAAGCAAGCTCCAGGCTCTGAGCTGTCAGCACAGAGCCCGACCCGGCGCTCAAACCCCAGAAGTGAAACCATGACCTGAGCCGAAGTCGGACGCTTAACCGACTGAGCCGCCCAGGCGCCCGGTGAGGAGCCATTTCCTAATCATGCACCGACCTACCGGTTTCATTTTGCAGTATCCAGACTTTCAGTTCTACAAGACTATGCGCATAAAAGCACTCATCTTCCCTTAAGCAGCCATACCGGACCTCATGGCGACATAAGTCAAGCTGACACTGACCATGAAAAGAACGTATTTTGGAGTATTTTACCGTTGTCTCTCGCAAGATGTGGACAAGGCACCTAAGACAAAAACGGAGTGACACATTATTGTTCTACCCTAGCTTTTTCAAAGGAAAACAAATAAGTAAATGTATATAACGTCAAGTTCTAGACTGAAAATACATGCTAAATCTTTACCAGAAAAAACAAGTCCCTTTACACAATTGTTGGATTAACGGGGGGTGGGGGGGGGAGGATAATTACACCATAAATTAAGCCATAAAATACTGAAATCCATGTCATGAGAAGCTACACATCAATAATGCCTTTTTGTATTAAACATAAATTTCATAAACCACTTAAAAATTCCCAGCAAAATATACTAACAGACATTTTTAAATAGTCATCATCTTTCAAAACAGCAACAAGGAAAAAGCACAGGGGGTAAAATGCCTGGGCAAACACTACTCTGGTTCTATTTGGGTCTAAAGACAGAATCTATTGCGTCACTAGAAAAATTAGAAACTACCAACATACTTATTGTCTTCAAACTCATGCTTTGTAACCGGGTGAGAACAAGAAGTAGAATTATCTTTATTTCTTTTACTTATCATTCTAGGTTTATGATCAAAACATTTCTGGAACAGACAGAGAAAAAGAATTACCACAACAACATCACACAAATTAGAACTTTTGTACCATACTTATGCACATACTTATACATTACAAACTGATGCCAACTAATGTCTCATAGGAAGTTTTTGCATTCTCTTGGATACTGGGAGGTGCAACTATTGACTGAGTGAACGCTCACCAGGTAGCAGGACGTGTGCTAAGTGTTTTATATTTCTGGGCTTGCAAGTCAGGAACGATCACCAATTTTACGTCAGAAAATAAGGTTTGGAGATAGTACCTCACAGAGGAATATAAACTCTCCAAGATGCTCTTGGAGAAGTTTGAATACAGTGAGGTTGATCTTTCCATTGCCACCAAAGAAAGCCTCTCTGCTGAACGCCCCTTTCCGCTCCAGTGTCCAGATATCTATCTCTTCTTGGCAATAAGCAAATGTGCAGTGGCCTGAATATCTACATTCCTCCTCAGCAGCAACATCTAGAAAGACAGACCATCAAAAGACATTTAAAACACAGCCATTGGTTTTGGTTTTTTTTGGTTTTTGATTTTTTTTTTTTTTAGTGTTTTCTTTCTTTTTGAGAGACAGAAAAAAACAGCAAGTGCTCAAGCCGGGGAGGGGCAGAGAGAGAGGGAGACAGAGGATCCGAAGGAGGCTCTGTGCTGACAGTAGAGAGAACGATGCAGGGCTCAAACGCACGAACCATGAGATCATCACCCGAGCCCAAGTTGGACGCTTAACCGACTGACCCACCCAGGTGCTCTTAGCCGTTGTTTCTTCAAAGCCAATGATTATGAACCATTTTTAGGGTACCAGCTGAACCTCTGTAGCTCACAGATAGCTTCAAGCAATGATACACATTTTACTATGCAGGGATGGAACTCACTCTAGAACGATAGCACCACGGGTCTGGATTGTTTTTATTTTTGATGGGGAAAAGGCTCTCACATACTCCACCTAAGTTTAAAAAATCACTTAAGAGACATTCAAAGCACATTCAGATGAAGCAATCTGACAAAAATGAATACAGGGGTGCCTGGGTGGCTCAGTCAGTTAAGCATCTGACTTTGGCTTAGGTCATGATCTCATGGTTCGTGGGTTCAAGCCCCACATCAGGCTCTGTGCGGACAGCTCAGAGCCTGGAGCCTGCTTCAGATTCTGTGTCTCCCTCTCTTTCTGTTCCTCCCCTGCTTGTGCTCTGTCTCTGTCTCTCTCAGAAATAAATAAAGATTAAAATTAAAAAAAAAAATTTGAATACATAAAGTTCTCTCAAAAGCAACTTAAAAGAACATTTTCAAAGCCTCAGTTCAGTATTCTGATTCTGTTTAGACTCAGCCAGGGAACCTAAAGCGTAAGACGGTTTTCTGTTTAAAACCTGTTTAAAATCGGCCAAAGCCCGGTTTCCATAACCATCAATACACACAGGCACTGGGGTGCCTGGTTGGCTCAGTCGGTTAAGCCTCTGACTTTGGCTCAGGTCATGATCTCACGGTTCGTGAGTTCGGGCCACACGTCGGGGTCTGTGCTGACAGCTCAGAGGCTGGAGCCTGCTTCAGATTCCGTGTCTCCCTCTCTCTCTGCCCCTCCCATGATCATGCTGTCTCTCTCTCAAAAATAAATAAACATTAAAAAATCCACACACACACACACAAGCACTGAAAGAAGTTAAAAACAAAGGTAAAAATAATACAAAAGATACAAATGTCTCAACCCAAGGAACTTTTAATTCTACCTACACATTTTTAGGGGCACCTGAGTGGCTCAGTTGATTAAGCGTGTGACTTCAGCTCACGGCATGATCTCACAGTTTGTGAGTTCAAGCCCCACGTCGGGCTCTGTACTGACAGCTCAGAGCCTAGAGCCTGTTTCGGATTCTGTGTCTCCCTCTCTCTCTGCCCCTCCTCCACGCGCTCTCTGTCTCTCTCTCAAAAACAGACATTAAAAAAAAAAAAATTAACTCTACCTACACGTTTTTAATAACAGTAATACTGGGACCATTATAATAAATGTAACAAATCATTTATCACTTATGTCATGCACACCAATTAATTATAGTACATACCTTTACATATATAATAAGGTCCTTCATAATTTGTTTTTGTTGGTCTTGGGCGTATTTTTTTCCATGATTTATCTTCAACATTCTTTATTCTACCAATTAAAATATCTTTCTTACATTTATGATCTATATTAGCATGGTAAGTGAAATCCATTAACTTAGGGCCTGAAAAAGATGTAAAAAAGGATTGCTCATAGGCACAAAGAGCGACATTTCATTTTACAGGCACATTTACAAGCAGACGGATATTGATTATTAAATTCCCACAAAAACCCTGTTTTTATAACCCCCAAATGTAAATAAGCTACTGAAGTAATTTGTGCCTTTTATATGCTATTTGTCAGAGAACATGAAGTTTTATTCAACACCAGTGCCCTGAAAACATACTTATTTAACTATGAGGACAGGAATTCTGATGGCTTCTAAAGGGAAAAAACACCCTGAAATATACATAACTAAGAAAGAAAATGAATTTAGGCTTTGGTTTAGGATAAGTTGTGTTTATATCACCTGACTTGGGGGTAAAGGTATGAAACAAACCAGCAGAAAAGACTTTACCTTTATAAACACTGGTCTTAAAATGCTTTTTTTCTAGTTCTTGCTTTATTTGAAAACGATCACATTTTTGAATATATATATAGAAAAGTAAAGAATTTCATAAAAAATTTCAGTAAGACTTCATCATCAGGTAAGGTATTCTAATCCATATGATTGTATAAATGAAATTATATCAAATAAGAACAGACTTATCCTGTCCAGAACTCAAACAGGGACGGAAAAACCACGGTAGCTGGTGTTCTCCACGCGTATTTATGAGTCCGGAACTCTCAGACTATCGACTAAGCTCCCCTGTTTGGTCCTGACCTGATTTTACAAAACACATCTGACAAGCTTGTCTCAGTTCATGGGTTCCTTCAAGGGGGTGTCTTGGGGTCACGGATGAAGGTGGTTTAGTAACTGCGCTTCCAAAGAAGTTTCCAAAGTCATTTCTAGGGTGGCTTGAAATTCCCAGGAAACTCTCAGAAGCAAACAAGTTGCCTGGTCCATTCATCTGCAAGAAGGAAAAAAAAAAAAAACAAACAGCCAACAAATATTGCACTCTCACTAAAGAAGGAAACAAATTTGTGACAAACAAGACATTTCTTCACGTACTGAAATCGGTACTAGTCTGCCGTTGCTGTGCTTCTATGGAAAAGCTGGTTCTTTCTGGGTTTTCCACTCTTTGGGTCTCTGGGCCCCTCCCCCACCTTCCTGGCTTCTCGCGAGTTGACAGAAGTAACAGGTCATCGTTCTGCTCCTACGGCACACACTCTTCCTATGCCCTGATCTCATCTTGCCTGTGTGGGTTCTGCGGTGCTAAAGCCTCTTGCGCCCCGTGCCACCGCGAGGACTGTGCCGTGACAGGCGCGGTCTTACGCACGCGGCGTTCGTCCCTGGCTGCTGCTCGAGGGTCCTGTCTCACCACCATCTCCCCCGGCACACGCGAGATGTAAGGGAGACCATCACGTCCATTCGGGTAATTCCGTTACTTAAGTAAAAGACCTACGTTCAATTTAAGCGACGTTATTTACAAAAGAGGAAGTGGCACTTACAAGTAAAAGGGAGGAATTACTGCCGCTAAGCGCTGTTCCCTCTCTAGAAGTTGAGGTGGGCACATCTAAAATAATAAAAACACTTCAACAGACCTCATTCTAATCATGTCACAACAACATCAGGGCTCAGTGGCTGACTACGCTTCCCCCGTGTTACTTTCCCTCCCGCTCCCGCTTCCAAGGAGCTTTCTTGCTCATCAAGGACACTCGCAGAGGGCAGTGGATGGTCTCCTTCCCTCTGGAAATTTCCAGGGGCATACATAACCCTCAGGCAAACTGTTTTCGGAGACATTGGCTGAAGGAGGGCCTGCCGAGTGGGGCTGTTAAAAAGACCAAGAAAATAACTCCTGTCCGAAATGGGAAAAACAGCCTCCTCAAACTACAAAGCAGGAATTCACCACAACATTAGGAAAATAAGGTGCAGTGACTTTCTTTTTCTCAGGCTGCCCCTCGATTACCTTCTCTCTGCCCTCTGCTTCCCACAAATTTTAGTTTTTTCAGGTGTCAGTCTTTAAATCAATCGTTCTGATTTTTCTCCCTTTAACCACCTAACAATACCTTGGGAAAATTGGAAGATTTTGATCAATGTTGTTGAAAGCAGATATTAAAGAATTACAGAGGCAGGGGCCAGACCAAAAACTCAGCAATCTCTTGCAAAACTAAGGCACCACACACAGTTTGGGGCCCTCTGGGGATGAAGCCTAAAGCAGACAGATCTCATTCTATGGGTTTAATTCTGAATAATTCCGCCTTAAATTAGTCTTTTTTAACTATTTGCTTCGTTCAGAATTTTACAAGGATAGCCTGCCTTTAAGACCCGTGAGGATGGGGTACGCCTTTCTTGGAGAAAACATTTAAGCCATTTTTTCCCCAAAACAATAGACACCCGGCTTAGCAAACTATCTTGTTTAAAAACTCAAAACACCAAAATAAGTACCACACACATTCCTGTGTATTCCCCTGCTCCTTCATCTCCTGAATGGCACGGTTACGCCCAGGCAAATTAAAACTGCAGATTTAGTTTTCATTTTTACAGCTACAACGAAAGTAACTCAAGCACCAACTACCTAAAGTGAGTTACGTAATTGCCAAACAGACTGCCTTCTTTAGAAAACGAACTGCGGTTATTTACACAAGCGGCTCGATTCTTACCTCGCTTGGAATCACTCATTGAAAATGAACTCAAAGAAGAGCAGAAATCTTCCAAGGATGAGGTCAAAGGTGGATACAGTTCTGAGAAGGAGGGCGGAGGGGCATACCTCGCACCAATGGGCAAGGTGCCCAACAGAGATGCCGAGAAAGGCATGCTAGGGGGGACACTGGCTGCGGGAAGGGCTCCTCGGACTAAAGCTGACGGCTAAAAAAGAAAAAAGATTTTGTTAAACCCCAGGAAACTTGATTACAAGTGGGCCAACCTGCTTTGAACATCAGCGTACAGAAACAAATTACTGCACTGGGTAATTACGTAACAAAGCTGAAATCAGTATCAAGACTCAAGAGAAGAATCTAGGCTACGGGGGCGCCTAGGTGGCTCAGTCGGTTAAGCCTGCGACTTTGGCTCAGGTCACGATCTCACAGTCTGTGGGTTCGAGCCCCACGTCGGACTCTGTGCTGCCAGCTCAGAGCCTCGAGCCTGCTTCGGATTCTGTCTCTCCCTCTCTCTCTGCCCCTCCCCTGCGTGTGCTCTATCTCACTTTGTCTCTCAAAAATAAATAAATGTTAAAAACAAAACAAAACAAAAAAGAAGAAGAATCTAGGGTATGGAGCTTCTTTCTTTCCAAGCCCACTTTCAAAAAAGGATCAAGGTCTCAGGAAACGAACCGTCTTGCACTGTTGGTGGGAATGCGAACTGTGCAGCCGCTCTGGTAAACAGTGAAGAGGTTCCTCAAAACTTAAAAATAGAACTACCCTACGACCCAGCAATTTGCACTACTAGAAATTTAGCCAAAGGCTACAAAAAAATGCTGATTCGAAGGGGCACATGTACCCCAATGTTTACAGCAGCGCTATCAACAATAGCCAAATGATGGCAAGAGCCCAAGTGTCCATCAACTGACAAACGGATAAAGAAGATATGGTTTATATACACAATGGAATACTACTCGGCAATGAGAAAGAATGAACTCCTGCCATTTGCAACAACATGGATGGAACTGGAGGGTCTTACGCTGAGTGAAATATGTCAGTCAGAGAAAGATACGATTTCATTCATATGTGTAATTTGAGAAATTTAACAGATGAACACAGGGGAAAGAAGGAAAAATAAGATGAAAACAGAGAGGGAGGCAATCCATAAAAGACTTAAATACAGAGGACAGACTTCGGGTTGCTGGAGGGGAGGTGGGTGGGGGGATGGGGTAAACGGGTGATGGGCAATGAGGAGGGCACTTTAGGGGCATCAGCACTGGGCATCATATGTAAGCGATGAATCACTGGGTTCTACTCCTGAAGGCAAGACTACACTGCATGTTAACTAACTTGAGAATAAAAAAATTAGGAGGAAAAAAGAAAAAGGCAAATGGACTAGAATAGACTTCAGAATCCCAAATAAATGCCCGTGAATACTCTGTGGGGGTCAGGGTGTGATGTCCATCCAATATTGTCTCAAACCCAATGTTACATTCACGTTTCATTTCCTTCCGATTCCTTACACGAGGCTCAGAAGAACTGGCTTTATTAAGGAGCAATAGCGTAGGGGCAGGGGGAAATGGAAGGTCCTCAAGAGAAGGGAGCCGGAGAAGGCAGAAACGCTGGACCATCTCTCTGGGGATGTGAATTTACGATCTCACAAGGACACACGGAATGCTGCCCCTCTCTTCCCCCATCACAGCGACAACTTACTGAGGGTTTCCCTGTGCCTTCTAAGTACTGAAGCAAGTTCCACGCTATCTGTTGAATTCTTCAACTTTCCAAGATGCGTCCTACCTACTGTGATCGCCATTGTACAGACAAGGAAACTGACGTCCTGAGAGGTGAGGTAAAGCCGCCCAAGACCACAGAGATGGTAAGAATCAAACCCAAACAGGAGCAGTTAACTGCCCACAGACATCATCTATCTCAGCCACGCTGGAACCAGCCCTGAATTGCTCCCCATCCTCCTCATGACAGTGTTGCTGCTCTTGCTGCTAGTTTAATATACTGTGTGGCAGGGGTCAGTAAACTTTTCCTGTGAAGGACTAGATATTCAGTATTTTAGCCACGCGGTCTGTTTCAACTACTCAGCTGTGTTGCTTCAGTGCAAAAGCAGCCACACACAATGCAGAAGTGAATGGTCATGGCTGTGTTCCAATAAAACTTTATTGATGACACCGAAATATGAATTTCATATAATTTCCATGTGTCACAAAATACTGGTCTGTTTTTCCCCCTTCCAGCCATTTAAAAACGTAAAAGCCATTCTTATTTTGCAGCATTTCAGATATGGCCGGACCTTGGCTACACAGTTACCCTGAGGCATTTATCCTTTAAGCCTTTAATCCAAAACAAACAAACAAATTCTTTTTCTTTAAATAAAAATAAAAATAAAGAAATTATTTTTCTGTAAATACCAAATGCCAGTTCTTTTTCAGAATTTTAAGTTTACCCTTTCCATACTATGTGATTCCAACAGGTGTTGAGGAAAACTGGCTCATTACTAGACTGGTGTTTTGTTTTATTTAAAAAATAACCACACGGGCATGGTACTCCCAGAGAAGGACAAAAGTACCTTTTAAGCTAAGTTTAACCTACAGGAAATGCTGAAAATACCGAGGAGGTCATACGGCAATTTTTTTTTTTTTTTTTTTTTTTTACAAAATTAAGCCTGGCTTCAGAAGAGAGGAGTGACGCTGACATTTACCATAACAGTTTCATTGGCCTCAGGTGCCGAATCAAGAAGGTCATCTATTTCGTCGCCGAGGACCATATCTCCGTCATCCAGAAAAGGTTCCGGCATGGTGAAGGGGGCCTTTCCTCCATTTGCCAACACCACCGATGGCAGGGGGCTCTCGTCCACTTGCAGGGGCAGCATAGAGGGTAAGGGCATGATAGGAACTGAGGCCAGCTCACTTCCGACTTGGTGGGAGAAACTGGACGCAGGCACAGAGACGACAGGAACTGCTTCCTGCCTCGGAGTTAACAAATCTGTAACACGGATCAAAACGTACCCACTCATCTTCGGTGTACTTACTCACCGAAGACTAGCGTCAAGAGCCAATAAGAGAGAAACGGAAGAGCCAGGTGAGGGTACGAAAGCAACGATAAAAATAAATAGACGAGACAGTAGCAGAAGCAGGTCAGAGACAAGGGTAAAAATAATTGTCGAAGTCGTTGGTTTTACCCAGGGATAGACATAGCAGCTTGTGAAAACTTATCCTTGTGTCTCAAAATGCCCGGGCGCCTGCCGGGCAGAGCTACGAGACGCTGGTAAAGCCACCCGGGGCGCTCACTGACCGCTTACTGACACGCAGAATTACCAATCACTGCCAGCACGTCCAGAAGCGCTAAAGTGGTTTTCAGAATTATTCTTGCTTTCATACCAACGGCCGCATGGTAATCGTATTTGACAACGCTATCACATCTAGAGCGTCTAACGCCGCCACTTTCTAGACCAACATGACGCGAGAAAACGTACCTGGCTCAATATCTTCCACAGAACAGCTCAAAGCCTGGAAATGAAACCAAACAACCGATCATCGTGCGTACGGTCAGGATTCCAGTCTATGAGGAGTCTGTAAATCTCACTCCGAGACAGCAATGCGAGTTCTCGCAGAAATTTTACTTCCTTCCAATGGAGATCCAAGAGATAAACGGGGTGGGCACACCTCGGGAACGAGTGGTTAGGCAGGGCGGGCCCAGCGGCGTGACCGCTGGGCCCTCGTGGACGGTGCTTCCCCAAGGCCGTTCAGGAGCGTTCAAGTTCTGGAGGGCCTCGTCTAGCCACCGCTCACTCCCCAACTCACAAAGGCATCCTAACAGCTCCATGAAGACTCACCTTTTAAAAACCAACCGCTTGGGACCTGTGTTCAACCCAATGGCTCCCAACATTAATATCTGGCCCCGGGCCAATTTTCTAATAAAACCTAACATCTATGAACGTCCTGTAAAATGCGCCATTGGACTTGAGGAAATGCTGGTTGAAAGATACTACTTGAGTTGTTTGTTTCTTTTTATAGGACAGGAAGCTCTGGCCAATTATGTGTCTGAGAAACAAAAAGTTCTCAAAAATAGACACAAACCAAAAATATTAAAAGCAGAACTGCTAACGTGGCCATCTGCTCCTTTTTCCCAAAAAGTTACGCGTCTTACAGGAGCAATAACTTTACCTTGGTAGCCCCGTCCCCAGGAACGGATTTTAACGCAAGCTGAAAGAAAACAAAGATGCTCATTAAAAAAAAAAATTACGTGAAAAACAGAACTGTAACCAAGTTACAACCAAAGAAAACGAAAATACCCCGTGGGGAGAACTCCAGCTTACCTCAGCCCTAACATACGCTTTTCTTATTTTAAATCCCAATTTCTGAGCTAGTTCTTGCGTTAGTTTGATCACATGTTCATCCTGAAAAAAAAAAAAAAAAAAAAAATGAAAATATGACTAACGGAGGGTTATATTTACCAACTGTGGAGGCAAATCGCAAAACAGCTAGAACTCATATTCCGTGCAGACACTTGCTTGGTGGGCAGTTAATCCCAAATACAGCGGGTGGGCCGCGAACTGGAAAATGGAACTCTTTAGAGGCCCCTTCTCCACAAGGAAGCAACGAAATGGTTACCATGTCAACCAGTGAACTCAAATATAAATTCCGTACCTGAGGCACCGCCAAGGAGCACTTTGCTACGGAGTCATAAGCCTCTCTGTATCTTCCTAAGTCACTGAGAGCCTTAGATTTCCGGTACAGAGCTTTGCAGTTACTGGCATTTAAACTGAGCACTGTGTCACAGTCTTCTAAAACTTTATCGTGCAAACCCTGGGGTGTAAGAGCAAACAAGGTTAGCAACAATTCCTTCTGGCACACATGTCTTCCTGTCGATGCAGACAAATTAAGACCCTGGACTAATGCCCTCCTTTCAAACTCTGTTAGCGGTATTATTTTTCTTTGAAAAAAAATATTTTCATCATGAAACTCCCAAATGGAAAAAGTACAAATATCATGAACTCCCACGTAACCATCATCCAGACCAGACAAATGTTAACCTTTGGCTGTAAAGGCCCCAGGTCTCCAAGAAAGAAAGCTTCCCAGACGCAGTTGATGCCCCAGGCGGCACTCTCCCTTCCTGCTTCCTCCACTAGCCACCCTTTGTTGGAGATCATTAAAATGTCGACTGGAAGTTAACTCCCAAACAGCTAGCTAGCCCGAGAAGAGTCCATTAGAAAAAACAAAATGAGCCATCAGTGAACCTTCACTCAGTAAGAATCGGGTGACAACATGGGCACCTTGCTTAAATTCAGTTAAATGTTACTGAATGTCCACGGTGACAATTCAAAGTGCACCAAAATATTGCTCTTCTCAGCTCAGACATGTGAAAAACTCATGTTAAATCTCTTCAAGGTTAAACACCACGCTGCGCTAACAGGGCTCCAAAGAGGACTAACGCACTCTTGACCAAGTGCGCTGTCGGGACAGGGACTTGACTGATGCATGGGACAGGGACCTGCGTCCTCCTGGGCTGATTTTTGTTATAAGCGGACACACCCCAGAAACCAGACTCACGTGGCAACTCCAAGGACCGGTCACCAAGAAACAAATTTTATTTTTAACTCAACATTTATCCAAAGCTGGCTTTTCCAAACTCCAGACCACTCTAAAAGCAGGCAGTTAGAGGGGCACCTGGGTGGCTCAGTTGGTTAAAGGTGTGTCTTTGGCTCAGGTCATGAATGTCATGATTTGTGAGTTTGAGCCCCGCGTCGGGCTCTGTAATGAGCAGCTCAGAGCCTGGAGCCTGCTTCAGATTCTGTGTCTCTCTCTCTCTCTCTGGCCCTCCCCTGCTCGTGTTCTATCTCTCTAGCTCTTAAAATAATAAATACATATTTTTAAAAAATGTTGTAAAGCAGTAATACGATTCTCTTAAAAACTGAAATTAGAGGGGTACCTGGGTGGCTCAGTCGGTTAAGCATGCGACTCTTGATTTCGGCTCAGGTCATGATCTCATGGTTCGTGAGTTCGAGCCCTGAGTCAGCGCTGACAGTGCAGAGCTTGATTGGGATTCTCTCTCTCCCTCTCTCGCTCTCTGCCCCTCTCTCCCGCACAAAATAATTTTTTTTAATTGAAATTAGAAAACTGACTTACAATGTACTTTTGTTATCAAAAACATTTTTTCCCTCTAGGAGCCCTGTTCTGTTCTAAACAAAAATCACCACTCACCATATTAGAATAGCAAGCAATACGATTTATATGCAGTTTTTCAATTATTTCTTTAGGGATGACAATTTCTTCCGACTTTGCATAACCAGCTATATTCAGAGCTTCTGTGTACTGGCTTATCGAGTTGTTCCAATCGTGTTCCCGATAAACATCATTTCCTTCGTTAAAAAGATTTCTCACAAGAGCACGTAAATATACCTTTAAAAAAAAAGAAAAGAAGAAAGAAAGTGACCACTCGAAGCCCTTTATGAAACAGGACAGGGTATAGGGAAACTTCAGTTTTTGTACTGGAGACTTCTGGTCTTAGATGTGACGCAGCAGTGAGCGCTGCTGTAAGAAACGGGGAACCCAGGCCACCTCGCTACCGTCTCAGCGAGGCCTTCACCTCGCGTGCTTTCTCAAGAGAAGATGCAATTTCCCATCAGGAGGAAAAGTGCGGCAAAAGCACCTCGTAAAAACCTGTTCGCGTCCCCAACTCTGTGCCTACAACAAATTCCTACGAGTGCAAAGCCTAGGTCTGAAGGAAGGAGCATCTTGGGCCTTGGACCAGTATTTCTAAACTGCCTTCCGAAGCGGCGAGAACAGTGGACGCATCCAGCGGTCCGGTCCCCAGCTCACGGCACCCCCACCAACGCCGGGCAGCGTGCGTGTGCCTGTGTGGGAAGACACAAAACCCCTACTAATTTCTAGGTGAAAGCCTGTACCCTTTCTTATCCCTGTGCCTGATGACCAAGGATCTCTCACATTTTTACGGACCATTGTCTTTCCTCTCTGGTAAATGTCCGCTCAGGACTGGTCCGGGGAGAGGGGATGTTAAACCTTTTTCTCGCCGAGCAAGTACAGTATACAAGGTTCTTTTGGTACATATAAAAGTTCTGGAGGGGCGCCTGGGTGGCGCAGTCGGTTAAGCGTCCGACTTCAGCCAGGTCATGATCTCGCGGTCCGTGGGTTCGAGCCCCGCGTCAGGCTCTGGGCTGATGGCTCAGAGCCTGGAGCCTGTTTCCGATTCTGTATCTCCCTCTCTCTCTGCCCCTCCCCCGTTCATGCTCTGTCTCTCTCTGTCCCAAAAATAAATAAACGTTGAAAAAAAAAAATTTTAAAAGTTCTGGAGGTTCCTTCATGATTTCCTATCACTGTGCTAATGTTTCACAAGTCAAGATCAGACACGTATTACGAGATCAGGTAAATACTCAGGTTCTGGGTCTCATTTTTTGAAATTCGTGTCTAAGCTGACAGAATTAGTAAAGCAAACTGGACAGATCAACCTTTAACAAGGGCGGTGGCTCGGGACAGGCCACTTAACCTCTCGAGATCCCGGTTCCAGTTATAAAAGTCAGGAATGTAAAATGAACTGTACAATGAACGGATTGTTCCCAGTGCTTTCTAGCCATAATACTCTATGATTCTACATCTGTTTGGAGAGAGAGAGGGCAGGGGCAAGGAAGAAGACAGAGAAGGAAACAGGGAAGAGGGAGGGGGAGAGGCGGAGAAAAAGAAGGAACATTGGCAAGCATCAAAACCCTTGGACACCAAAAGCCGCAGGTGAACTAACAGCCTGCACACACGAGGCCCGGTGAACTGGGCTTTCTCTGGGTTTCTAACTAGTTTCACCTCCGGCTGCTCTCTGCTAGGATCCAGGTATCCTTTGCTCCTATGAGAACCTCTTTTCTCCTAAATAAAAATAGAAGACACTGGGCTCTCTCCTTCACAACATATTCTGTCCAACTTGTCTTCGGTAAACGAGAGGGAGGCTAAAAGTAATTTTCGAAGGAGGCGCCTGGGTGGCTCGGTCGGGTAAGCGGGTAAGCGTCTGACTCCCGATCTCGGCTCAGGTCATGCTCTCACAGCTGGTGAGATCAAGCCCCGAATCAGGCTCTGCGTGGACAGTGTGGAGCTTGCCCGGGATGCCCTCCCTCCCTCTCTGACCCTCCTTCATTCTGTCTCTCTCTTCTCTCGCAAAATAAATAAACATAAAGAAAACTTTACTTAAAAAAAAAAGTAATTTTCACGGGGCTCGGAAGAAAACTTAGGCAAACTACACTCATGGAGGAAAGAAAATGGAGGACAACTGTCCCCATGTGCCAAAAGCAATGTTGTCCTGTATATGGAGGAGATCGACTAATTCTTTCTGTAGGTGCCCAGAGAGTAAATACTTTAGGCTTTGTGGGCCATATGGTCTCTGTCTCAACTACCGTATGTCGTGAAAACGGCCACAGATCATAAATACATCACCAAATAGGTGCGGCTGCATTCCAATAAAACTTTATTTACAGAAACAGACAACAGACCACATTTGGCCCACAAAGCTGGAGTCTGCCAACCCCCACTATTCATTATGGTTCACAAGTTACTTGCACAGCTTTTAAGTAGATGTTCCCAATCATTACCGCATATTGTTCCTGTGTCCCTGGATATGACAGCGGTGACCTAAGAAAAAGAAACCAATGAATTTTAATTATCAGACTCTTATCAGGATTTCTTCATCCAGACGTCATTGTAAAGCTAAGGTTCTATCAGCTTGCTACGGGTTCAAAGCACATTTTAAAGACCTACCTTCCTTTACGACTATTATTCACATATGCCATATTCACACACAACATGGGGGGGGGGGGATCTGTAACTATTCCCTTATATTTTCTTAAGTATAACACTTTTTCCCCTAAACCTACTTCTACTAAAAGAAGGCCTAATTCTTCAAATACCAAAAAACTTTTACTACAGCACAGAACCACTAATACTTTTTGATTCAATTCGCTGCAGTACAGAGGAGAATGTCTCCTCCCAGGACAAACAGAGAGGGACTTCTGCCTGCTCGTGTCTGCCCAAGGAAGGCCTGGGCTGCCTTGTCACTATCCTGCTTCATGGAGGCCGGTTAGAGACTGAGCTTCTTAAGAGAAATGTCTGATTACAAAAGCCCTATGTGCATGGTGATTTCATCACTTTTCAGTCATCAGAAGCGCTCTGATGGGATTAGGTTCTGATCCTTCTGGGTCTAATATTTTCCGAGACGCTACAGGATTTTAGCTCTAAAAATCAGGGACAGGAAGGTAGACTTCAGAACACATGGGAAGTCAAAAGTGCCCGAGCCAAAAATATTGCTAGACAAAAATATCTAATTTCTAACCCAGATTAAGAGGGCTTATAAACAGGACTAGAGGTTTCTTAATCTAATATAAAAAAGTACAGTCGACTCTTGAACAACACGGGTTTGAACTGCGCGGGTCCACTTACAATGTTATCTTTTTCAATAAACCTAGGACGGTGCTGTAAATGCATTTCCTCTTCCTAACGAATTTCTTAACTTTTTCTTTTCTCCAGCTTACTTTATTTTAATACGGTAAATAATACGCATAACGCACAAAACGTGTTCATCGACTGTTTACACTATTGGCAAGGCATCCGGTCAACAGTCGTAGCCTGCTCGTAGCCCTGTTTTGGGAAGTCAAAAGTTACACGTGGATGTGCAACTGTGCAAGGGTCTGCACCCCTGACCCCGCGGTGCACAAGGGCCAGTTGTATACGTGACGTGAACACACACGAGTCGGGCCCTTACTGGATAAACTGCAGTCCTTCCTTAATGTTCTGCTGCCTTTTTCTTCTCTCCTCGGACACACTGGACATGTTACCCCGCACATCCACTTTCTAAACGATCGACCTGGAAAAAACGAGGCACAAAGTCACATGAGGCGCAGAGCTCTGGACCCCAACTAAAACACCCACAGTCCACCGTCTTGCCACGCTATCAGCTGTGGGCACGTCCCTCTCTGCTGACTTGACTCTGGGCTGCTGGACACCAGGAACCCTGGCTCATCCGCACGGTCCCCGCTGCCCAGCACACGAAAGCATCTGGTTTTCACTCTCCCTTAAGGCTGCACAGCCATGCAGACTTTGCTCCCTCCTAAGTCATCTCCCCCCACCCCTTGGGCTACAGGTTTCGTTTCTTCCGTGTCTATATGCACGCACGCACGCACGCACGCGTATGCTGCACTGGAACAGTCCTGGCCTTGTTTCGCTTCTGGAAGCGCTCCAGAAGTAAAAAGTTTTCACATCCGCTCGCCTCCGAGGGAGTCTGACTTCCTGGTGAGCAGAGCTGAAACCTCACACACGTTTTGTTACACAAACTTCTGAAATAATCCTTGCTGATTCAACTGATAGAATGAAAAATCTAAATGAAGTCATTCGGTTGGAATTCTCGAGAAGGTAAGGGTTCACCTTCCACATAACAGTGGCAAATGTCAACACAAAACAGTGCCATTGGGATCTGCACCCCCCCCCCCCCCCCCCCCCACTGGCCCGCCCCCATCAATGTTCATTAAGCAATTCCCAGCAAGTTAAAGGAAAACCACAGGGAAGAGATCCATGATAAAACACCATCTCCCAGTGTCCTCAACCAGGGTTTGACGACCTCAGCAGCTCGGGCCAGACAGTCCTTGACTCTAGGGGCCCGTGCTGTGCACGATACGCCCCTGGCCTCCACCCACAAGATGCCAGTAACGCCCCTTCCCCCAGTTGTGACAACCAAAAATTCCTCCAGGCTTTGTTGTGTGTCCCCTGGCAGGGACGGGGAGGGGGCACATCATCCCTCCAAGATGAGCGCTGGGCTCTAAACCTAAGAGGACATCTTACCACACAAACCGTGTCTTTGAATGCGCATGACGGACGGGGAACTTGCACCCACGTTTCAAGCTCAAATGTTCTAGTTTCATTATTGCTTGACGTTCATAGTTTTATTATAGAATCTACCTTTTTCAAAGTGTAGAGGTGGGGACAAGGGTTGAAAGGCCCCGAAGGCTGGTAACTGGTGATCATTTTTTTCCATCTTTTAAACACTGTAGTTCTACATGTTTCGATCTTCTAATCTCAAAGTTGTTGACTTTCCTGGGACACCTGGGTGACTCGGTTGAACGTCCAACTCTTGACTGCAGCTCAAGTCCTGATCTCACAGTTTGTGAGTTCGAGCCCCGTGTCGGGCTCTGCG